CAAAGTCGACGATGCAGCCGTTGTGCAGGATGTTGTGCGAGCGGATGTCGCAGTGACACAGATCGTTCTTCGACAAAATGAGGAGGTGTTCAGCCGCGGCCTCAAGCGCTTCCTGGCTGCCGATGCCCGTGCCCTTGGTATCTGCATCCGTGTCCTCAAGCGCCGGCTCACCGTTGATGCCCGTGCCCGTCATACGCTTCGATAGGTCGGGACAGGCAAACACGGGGCGTGACCGCTCGTGCACTTTCACCGTTTCCTCTGGATAGACGAGTTCCCAGCCCTTCCGTTCGTTGCTAGCCTCCTTGGCAGCGCCAATCTCGTGGCCGCCGCACACCTTCAACACCTCGCCGTTCACCAGTGCAACCGACACAGTCTCCTTGCCGCCTTTGTAAACGCGCATCTCGTATCTCGTGGCAACTTTGGCAGACCTTTCCCGTGCTGCTTCCGCTTCTGCACAATGACGCTGCTCCTCCTCACCGCTGTCTGCTGTGTCGGTCTTGGTGGCTGCCTTGGTGTGCTTGGGCACTGTTGCTGGTGTGGTGGGGGAACCTGCTGCCTGTGCATGCTGCTGCTGCCGCTGCCGCTGCCGCTGAGGCGGCGTTGGGCTCCTGCTTCGGCCTGCCTGCTGACGCGCTGTGCTGTGGATGGGCGGGCCTTCTTCTTGCCCGAATCAGAACGCCCGGTACCGCGTGTTTGTGACACCCTGGAGACACTGCGAGTCACGGGCCTGTCTCCCTTTGCCTCCTGACACACCACAACACCAGCTCAACTTCCTGGCTGCCGATGCCCGTGCCCTTTGGTATCTGCATCCGTGTCCTCAAGCGCCGGCTCACCGTTGATGCCCGTGCCCGTCATACGCTTCGATAGGTCGGGACAGGCAAACACGGGGCGTGACCGCTCGTGCACTTTCACCGTTTCCTCTGGATAGACGAGTTCCCAGCCCTTCCGTTCGTTGCTAGCCTCCTTGGCAGCGCCAATCTCGTGGCCGCCGCACACCTTCAACACCTCGCCGTTCACCAGTGCAACCGACACAGTCTCCTTGCCGCCTTTGTAAACGCGCATCTCGTATCTCGTGGCAACTTTGGCAGACCTTTCCCGTGCTGCTTCCGCTTCTGCACAATGACGCTGCTCCTCCTCACCGCTGTCTGCTGTGTCGGTCTTGGTGGCTGCCTTGGTGTGCTTGGGCACTGTTGCTGGTGTGGTGGGGGAACCTGCTGCCTGTGCATGCTGCTGCTGCCGCTGCCGCTGCCGCTGAGGCGGCGTTGGGCTCCTGCTTCGGCCTGCCTGCTGACGCCGCTGTGCTGTGGATGGGCGGGCCTTCTTCTTGCCCGAATCAGAACGCCCGGTACCGCGTGTTTGTGACACCCTGGAGACACTGCGAGTCACGGGCCTGTCTCCCTTTGCCTCCTGACGCTGACGCTGACGCTGCTGCTGCTTTCTTGGGGTTTTGGGCTTGGGCTTGGTTTTGCCTGTGGCTGTCTTTGTGCCTGGTGCCTGTGCGTGCTGCTGCTGCTGCGGCGGCGGCGGCGGGGACTCTAACTGGGCTGCTTCTTCCTTGTCGCTGCCATTCTCGTTAGGGTGCTCCTCAAGGGTGGAGAGACGGCCCTGTGTCAGGTGTGTGTGTGTGTGTGTGGTTGTGTGTGTGTCAGGTGTGTGGTTGTGTGTATGTGTGCGTGTGTGTGTGTGTAAGGTGAGTGGCATCGTTAATCGTTGAACGAAAGAAAGAAGACACATACACACGTACACAGGACATGTGTGATGTGATGAATGTGTTGCAAGCGAGCAAGAGGGCAAGAGAGCTAGAGGGCAAGAGAGCTAGAGGGCACGACATCACGCCTGCGACGGCTACCTGGGCAATGGCGGAAACCTTCTCGTAAAGCGCCATGTGCTCTTTGTCGACCAGCCACTTAATCACATGCCCAAGCCTGCTCAGCTGAATTCCACAGCAAAGAAATCCAAAATGTGAGCGCCATGTTCAAGCACGCACGACGGCATACTCTGGCCGACGTGCACCAACAACAACAACAGCGACAGCACAGATGCACGTGCACACACATGTGTCACACTCATGTGTGCGCAGGTACATGTGTCACACATACACACACATACACACACAAAATGCAAACACCCTCCAGCACTGTTCGCACATGCGATGGCAACTCACTGTGGTGTTGCCAAGTTTTGTGTAAAGGACACTGGGAAACACCTCGCGGCCGTGCACCTCGTCGCCCAGCGTGCACGCGTACACGGACACCTTATCGTTGCAGACGGTGATGGCAAAGGGAAACAAATACCCCTTCAAGTCACGCCACTTCGGCCCCGCAGACTTGATGGCCCGTGATGCGTACTCCAGCACCTGCGCCTTGGCAGCATCCTGAGTCTGCTTGCTGTCATCGGTCTTGAGCTCAAGCAACAACGGGTAGCAGAAGTAGTTTGAGGCCATTTGCACAACGTAGTCCGCTTGAACAGCGGGGTCGGCCTCAAACGACGCGTGGCTCTTGACATACACTGCTGCGTCAGCACACGCCTTGATCAGGGGCACGTTCATGCTGTCATTGAACCGCGTCTCTCGCTTCGGAACGTGAAAGCCAAAGTCTGCAGTGCGGTGAGCTTGACAGCGCAGTGTTGGTGTGTGAGATGCCCCTTCAGGCTTCGCGTACACACACGTACATGCATACATACACGATGCACAAGCGCTCTCACAAGCACAAATACGGCTTTTCACGCGTACAAACGGGTTCAGCGGCCATTCATCAGCACCGACACACATGCCACGTGCTCTCACAAAAAGGATGCTCACATGTACACGCACACAGCAAGCAAGCGCATGCTCGACAATGACCTTACCTGTGCTTATGCCCTTGTTGATTGCCTTGTGAAACCCCTCGTTGTGCATGTGCCAGTCCGGGCAGAGAAGCTCGGCAGAGAACGGCTGCGCGTAGACTGTTCTGTGCGCTGAGTCCGCGTCCTTCTTCCTCTCTTCGGCAGCGCTGCTGAGGGTTACGCTTGACTCCAAATCTGCCACGAACCACACCAAACAGCCAGGATGAGTCCAGTATGCAAGCAGCGTGGCAGCCAGCGAGCAAGACGCTCGCAACAAAAAAGTAACAGCAGCACAACACTCATGCACACACACACGGAGACGCATGCGCAAGCAACACACGCACATGCAAACACGCACACGAACGCGAGTGAGACAGGCGTACCGCGTCGAAACTGCCGCTGTTCTTCGGACAACCCTTTGCGCGTGACATCGTCAAGCTTCTCAAGGAAGCTGTTCACGTCGTCTAACGGCATCTGCTTCTTGTTGCTCACCAAACTGCAGATATCCTGAAGCAGGGCCTTGATGTTGTCCGTGAAGGGCTGCTTCAGCATGTTGGCGACGTATTGCTGTGCTCCATTTTTCTTTTGAGGTTCGTCACAAGGCGTGCCGATGTTTTCGATCCCATGCTTGCCGGCGATTGCTCGGATCCTCTCAGCGTAGGTGTCGTGTTGTTGGCCGGTGGCTGGCTGCGTGCCCTCTAAAATGGTCTTGTGCTGTTGTGTTGCTGCTTGCAAACATGCGCGCGCAAGAACGCCAGCCTGAAAGCAAGAAGGAGAAGGAGAAGGAGAAGGAAAAAGATACACAGCAGGTGCCCACAAAGTGAGATGTTATGGATGCTGTGCACGTAGACATTTTGGCGCCAAATGGGCGTTGATGATGCTTTCGGCCTTGAAAGCACGCACCACACACACAGGCAAATGCATACACATGCACATGCACATGCACATGCACATGCACATGCAGATCACCATACACGCGCCCTCTCGTTCTCTCGCCACACGTTTGCACGCTTGCACATCGGCGCAACAATAACCCACTTCGTTTGTCGACAGGCTTGTGAAGATGTCAGATCCTTTGGTTTTCGTCTTTTGAGAGGTGGACCCAGCGGCGTTGTTGCTTTGCACCGCTCCCTTGCATCGTGCATCATGTGTGTGTGTGTGTGTGGGTGCATCATGTGTGTGTGTGTGTGTGTGTGTGTGTGTGTGTGTGTGTGTGTGTGTGTGTGTGGCACACGCGTGTTGGCGAAGACATATGTGAGAAGTCAAAAAGCGCGCGCATTTGTGGTCGAGCACAGTGCTTCGACAACAAGGTGGCACTGGACCGTCACCATCGCACACACGCTGCGTGCGCTGCAAGACACGTTGAGTGTCATTCTCCTCACCACTTGCTCAGCCCTCAACCGCCCACTCGCGCCCCACGCTCTCTCTCTCTCTCTATCCTTCTATCATTCCGTCCGTGTTGGTCTCACCTGCACCTGTGCCGATGCGGCACTGCCGCTCTTCTCCTCTGGCATCTTGGTTGTCAGTGGTGGACTTGTTCGTTTCTTTTTTGAAATTCGTTCCAGGGAAATGAAGAAGGAGCGGAAATTGTTTATGATGTCCATGATTCCTCGGCAACGCCTCGCCACTGCTGCCTTGAAAGTTTGCCTTGATGGAACTTATGTAACATCATAATTTGTAGTGCGCATGGCACTGCTGTTTGTGTGTTTCGCCCGTCATCGCGCATCATCATCATCGCGCATCAATCAATCTGTGTTGTTCGTGTGCATTCCTTGCCTCCAAGCCAACGTTGCAGCACACAACCACCCGATACACAACACACAAACAACACACCGACCATCCATCACCCTCAGCGTAAGCTGAACAGATAAACCAGAGGGGATCCAACCACACTGCCAGTTGTAATCGTTGGCGCACTAACGTGTAGCTAACAGCACGGACCACAGAACAACACCAACAACAGAACACCAAGCAGAAACACCAACAGAACAGCGGCACCATGCCTGCGGATACCCATCATAACAATGACCCCTCAACCAGCCTGGCGTTGAAGTTGTTCTTCCTGGTGTGCGGCCTGAGCGTGTTTGCGCGTTCAGAGGCCGTGTTCATGCAGACGCAGATGTATGCCAAGTGCTTTGGGCTTGGCGACCGCTTCTACGCACTCGCCTCGTGCGCCATCTTCATGCCGGGCATTCTGGTGCAGATCATTCAGAACAAGTACGACGTGCTACACGACCTCAAGTACGGCACGTACAAGGCGACGACGACGCGGCTGCTTGTGGCGGTGCTGGGGTCCGTCGCCGCGCTCCTGGGCCTAGTCCTCGGCGCCTTTGAGAACATGAAGCTGGAGGGTGATCTTGGCTTCATCTACGCGCTCATGGGCGTTCTGGGCCTGGGCATCAGCATCAGCTTTGGCTGTTTCGTGCAGGTCATCACCATGTTCCCACCGAGCATGCACCCGTTCTTCTTCGTCGGCACCTATTCGCCCTTTCTCATCTTTGCGCCCATCAACATTGCGGTCCAGGACCTCTGCGTCAAAGACGAGGTGCGTGTATCGTGTGTGTTTGGGTGTGTGGTTTTGTGCGTGCGTGCGTGCATGCGTGTGTGTGTGTGTGTGTGTGTGTGTGTGTGTGTGTGTGTGTGTGTGTGTGTGTGTGTGTGTGCATTTCTCGCTCTCCCCCTTTTCTTGTCACTCTGTCTTGTCACTCTGTCACCCCCTTTTTCTTGTCACCCCCTCAACTCCTCCTTCTTCCTCCCATCCCTCCCCCCCCCCACACACACACACACCCAGGACGACCACTGGATGGTGCGCTGGCACAGCGTGTTGGTGTACTACTTGCTGGCAGCGTTTCTCACGCTGGCGGGCCTGCTGTGCTACTTTGGCATCGCAAAGCACCCGCGCGGCAAAGCCGTCTTCAAGCGCAAGGACGCCGAGCTCCGCGCTGCTCTTGTGCGGGCACAGCTGACCTCCGCCGATGACGACAGCACATACGGCAGCGTCAACAGGCGGACCAAAGACGGCAACAGCCAGCACACGCCGCTGCTGCCGGCGGGCTCGTCGGCGGTGAGCGGGGATGGCGCATCTGTGGTGGCGGGAACAACGCGAAGGCGCAGCAGCAGCATCAAGAGGGCGAATTACGGCAGCAGCAACAACGCAAGTGCAGACGTGGCCAGTCTCCACAACAACAGCAACAGCAACAATGGTCGTCACCACCATGGCAGTGATGATGAGGAGGCGGACAGCGATGTTGAAGACGGCAGCACCAGTGCCATGATGCCCCTCCTCAATGGCAGCAGTGGCAGCAGCAGCAGCAGCTCCGCACCACCGACATCGTCATCGTTCGGTAGACGTGACCACGGCAAGCCGTCCGCGGCCACGGTTGCAGATGCGCTGTCCACTGCGTCGTCGCACTACACCAACTGGGATATGCTGCGCATGTGTTGGAAGGAGATGACAGCGCAGCTGCTCATGACAGTGTGCTCCACCCTCGTCGCCTCGCTCTATATCAAGTTTAAGCCAACGCAATACGACGACCTCCCCACCCTCCTCCAGTGCGTGTGTGTGTGTGTGTGTGTGTGTGTGTGTGTGTATTCATGCGTGCTGGTTAATTCCACCCAACACCCTCCCACCATCACCTCACAACCCCCTCAACCCTCTGCTGTCAACTCACTCCATTGTCAGGTACGACTACTACATTTGCGGTGCGCTCGGCATCCTAACGACATCCATCGACGTTGTGCGCCGCGCCCTCACCTCCCGCATCATCCTCATCCTCTCCTTTGTCCGGCTCCTCGTCATCCCCTTTGCCATCCTCTACGCACGCGACGTGGTGTGTAGAAGATTGCGTGGCGTATGTTGTGTATGTGCGACTGCGTGGCATATGCTGTGCATGTGCATGCGCGCGTGTGTGTGTGTGTGTGTTGGCTGTACCACCCATGTGGATTGCGTGCTCTGTATGCGCGTGTGTGCGCGTGTGTATTGGATATATCACCCGCGTGATTGCGCGCTCTGTGTGTGCATGTGCCATGTTCCCTTCAGCTTCTCACACTTCTTCCCAACACCGCCCCCCCCCCAAATCTTACACCCACACATGCACAAATGACAGCTGCCGCGGAGCGACATTGGCGTGCTGGTGGTGAACGGCCTGCAGATGTATGTTGGCGGGGGCGTGTTTGCGCTCGCCTTCTCCCACGCGTCCAACCAGTTTGCCGCCAAACCAGACCGCACCAAGGCCTCCACCATCATGAACACGTGCTACTACATTGCAATGGCCATTGCGCTCGGCGTCTCCCTCGCCATCACTTAACCGCTCACACACACACACACACACACACACACACACACACACACACACACACACACACACACATGTGCCCAACTGTGTCTTCTCTGACACTGCAGCTGCAGCGATCGCTGACGTGTGCACATGATTCCCTCTTCACAACCCACCTGCCCCGCTCTCCTGTTTTGCTCTTGCGCCCTTCCCCCTCCTCCCCCTCCTCCCCTGCTCCTTTCTCCTCTGTCCATACCCCATCCCTCCACCACTAATTGACCATTTGAAGTTAGGTGTACCCTTTCTACTCTTCTCCCGTCCCTTTTGTGGCACGCGAAGATTTCTCGCTGTACGATTTCAACCTGATCTATTTGTATCTGTTACCCCATGCCCGCTCGCTGCATGTGTGTTGTGTTGTGCGTGTCTGTTGTGTGGTGTGTTGATTCCACGCACCTCTCTGTCCCTCTGTCACATTCTCCGTGTCGCGTGTTATTGCGCGAGCTTTCGCGCTCGTACTCAGCTGCTTTCTTGCGTGTGCAGGCGTTGCTTGCATGCACGCACCACTTGGAGCTTTGGCTTGTTTGGCTGTGACATGACGCTGTTGTCGCCTAGCAATGTACAATATATTGAGTGCCAAACTATGGCGACCCTGATCATGCAACGGCATCATCGCGTGTGTACAAAAAGCACAACACACACACACATGCTCACACAAAACACAAGCTACGTGTCAGTTAGACCAGGTATAATTAAGCGCTCAGGTGGCGACACAGTCACATTGCACGCATTGCCTTCTCTTGCCACGTGTCATTCGCTCTTCCCTTTTCCCTTTCCTTTTCCCTTCCCTTGTCCCTTCCCCTTCCCCTTCCCTTTGCCTCTGCCTCTGCCTCTGCCTTGCTCCTCCTCCTTCCTTTCCTCCTCAACTATCCCCTTCCCTTCGCCTTTGCCTTTGCCCTTTCCTCTGCCCGTCGTGCTCGGTGGCGGCACTGGCACCACCGATGAAGGTGTGGACTGTTGAGATGGAGCGTTATGTGGCATGTAAAGGTTGGTTGGTTGGCTTGGTTGGTCACGCGTCGCTGTTGATGGCATACACCATGTGTTGTTTGTTGAACAGGCAACACACACACACACACACACACAAACATATGTGCATGAACATGGATGTGCAGACAGACACATACGACACAGCCACCACAGTGACTTGCCAGCTTGTTCCATTTGGAGGAGGACGAGAAGATGCGCTGGTCTGGTGTAATCTCCTTTGGGCTTTGCCTTGCGTCGCACGCGCATACAGAGCACGGAAGCGGAGCGCACATACAGTGCACGAAAGCAGAGCACGTGAGCCTAAATCACAATCTCCACCACCACCACCACCAACAACAACAGCAGAAGCAAAGGCAGCAGCAGATGCAGCAGCACGCGGGAGCAAAGGCAGGAGCGCGCTCACAGGGTCGAGGTGAAGCCGAGGACTGCGTTTCCATAAGGCGATTCATTCAGAAACGTCGTCTCATAGTTGGCAATCTATCAGCACGCAATCAAGGCGCGTGTGGGAAACAAGATGCAAACTCTTGCACAAACAAAACCGCACAGCAGCTCAAACACCTTGCACAGACAGACACGCAGACACACAGACAGGCACGCAGACACATGCGCAACCACGCGCGCGCGAACACACATACACACACACACACACACACACACACACACACAATATTCACCTGAATGTCCAACTCCTCCAGGTTGTTCTGTCGTCGTTGTCGGCGCAAACACGCACAAGCACGCGAAAACACGTGAGCATGATGTCATGGCACACCAGCCACACTCAAAGCACACAGTGCACACGATGTCATTCGCCGTGCGTCCGACCTCGAGTTGACGACGGCGGTCCTCCAGCTCGCGAAGGCGTGAGTTCATCCTCGTGGTGGTGAAGGTGTCTCAGGGATGCGGAAGGCGCGTGTGTGCGTGTCTGTGCGTGCGTGTGCATGTGCGTGTGTATGTGAACGTGGCAGGCAGGAGTTGCTTCTTGTGGTTGTTGTTGTTGTTGTTGATTTCCGGGTTTGGCGCGACAACGAGTCCTGAAAAGTAGGTGAAGATATAGGTGAACTATCTGCGGCAGTTGCATTGTGGATGATCATAAAAAGATGCATGCAGATTTTCGGCAACCAAGACAATGGGAGGAGGAAGCAGGACAAGAAGAAGCAGCAAAGGTGACGCTGGTGGTGCAGGTGGGGACGCCGCTGCAGCAACACGACAGCCGAGACAAGCGGGTGGAGTTGGTGATCGCAGCAGCGGTAGTGCTCAAGGCAGCAGTCGAAAGCCTGGCGCTCGAAAAGGTCAACGTGACAGCGACAGAGGAGGAGGAGGAGGAGGAGAAAGAGACATGGCGCCGCCGCCAACATCGACAGTGGCGGCATCGCATGCTACGCCAAAGCGGTCGCCATGGCTGTCACCAGTGCGTGCGGCGTCCCGACTCTTGTCGGCCGTCAAACGCACTGGCAGTGCCACCCGCCTGCGGTCAGCAGACATCAAGTCCCCTGCAGACTACTCAGTATGCAGCTGCATGCCAGTGTGTGTGTGTGTGTCAGTGTGTGCGTGTGTGTGTCAGTGTGTGTGCGTGTGTGTGTGTGTGTGTGTGCTCTCGCTGTTTGTTCAGCGACGTGTTGTTGCCGCTGCTGCTGTCACCGTGATGTGCCACCGCTGTTGCTAAACTGTGCTTGTTTGGTGTATGATTTGCTGCTGGCGTCTGTAGGTGATTCGCACAATCGGAAAAGGTTCCTTTGGCGAGGTGAGGTTTTGGCTTGCTCCTATTCGGTACTGCAACCCACCACCATACATGCGCGTCCACACACACACACACACACACACACATGCACACACACACACACACAGTGCACACACACAGTGCACACACAGTGCACACACCATGCATGTGCACTTGGATGTTCTTCCGTCCACCTTTTTCTCTTCTCAAACGATTACCTGTGCTGCGGACAGGTGCTGCTGGTCGAAGCCAAGTCCAATAAGCAGAAATACGCAGTGAAGGTGTGAGAGAACCGTCGTCCTTGCGTGTCATGCGGCGTCATGCCACTGGTTTGCACTGTTTGCAGCAAAGTGGTCGTGCGCAGCACACACTATCTCACATGTGAGCGTGACGCGTCATGGTACAGATCATCCATTTGGACACCATGCAGGACCCAAACATGCTGGAACAAATTCGACAAGAGCGCGCAGTCCTGGTCAGTGCACGGCGTGTGGCTCGAATGTTGACACTGCTGCAATGCCCACTCACACATAAATACAACCATGCCCACACACATAAACACACCCACATACACACACGTACACGCACACACATATACACGTACACGCACACACATACACACACATACTTACACACACACACATACATACTTACACTCACTCACTCGCTCACTCGTCACTCGTAGGATGCGGCACGCGGGCACCCGCATATCGTGTGCATGCTGAGCTCATGGATGAGTGAACAGTGCCTGTATCTGGTGCTGGAGTACATCCGTGGGCGTGATCTGTTTGACACCATCCGCAGCCGAAAGCGACTGCCCAGCCCGCAGGCCGCGCGTTATGTTCTACAGATGGCCATGGTGATTTCCAAGCTGCACCGTCACGCAATGTGTTGTGTTGGGATGGTGGTGCACTGCAGCGCGTTAGGCTGCTGTGGTGGCAATGGCATGTCTTCCTCAGCTGCGTCTGCTGTAACTTATGTGAATGCTCACGCACACACACACAACACAACACAACACAACACAACACAACACAACACAACACAACACAACACAACACAACACAACACAACACAACATACGCGCATGTGCGACAGGCGTTGGAGTTTCTTCATCAGAAGCAGATTGTGTTTCGCGACCTGAAACTCGAGAACGTTCTTGTGAACCATTCCTCTGACAGCATCCTGCTCACTGACTTTGGACTGGCCAAATTTCTGCCTTCCTCGGGCCGCACATCAACCATCTGCGGCACTATTCAATACATGGGTATCAGTTGCTGTCGCTGTTGGTGTGCGTGTTGCCGTTGTCGTCGTCATTCACGTGTGTGTACATGAATGTGTGTATGTATGTGTATATGTATGTGTATGTGTATGTGTGTGTTTCCTTGAGCTGTCCTGTGTGGTCAAATGTACGAATCCCTATCACCACACCCCGCAGCAAGCCACAATCCACATGTGTGCCCAATTCACCATCTCTCTCGCTGCAATCCTGTTCACGACCACACTCTCCACTCTCACTTAAGCACTCTCACCATCCCCTCCCAACGCACCACCTCCATCCCAACTCACCTCTTCCATCCTCCTCCACCTCCATCCACCACCAGCACCGGAGCTGTTGCGGGAGGAAGCGTACGGCACGCCCGTCGACTGGTGGTGTCTTGGCGTTGTCTCCTACATCCTTGTGTGCGGCCGCTACCCGTTCTCCGCGGGCATTGATGCGCTTCGCTACGACCACAGCGCCCATGACCGCATGATCATGGCACGGCGGATTGACGAGTGCGATCTGCCCTTCCCGTCGTTTGTTGACTGCGCCGCCGAGGTCGTCATTCGCAAGGTATGGTACTCATTTTGTGTTGTTCGTACTTATTGTGTGTTTGGTGTGTCATGTGCTTGTTTGCACCTGTGTGCGTGTTTGCACCTGTGTGCGTGTTTGCACCTGTGTGCTTGTTTGCACATGTGTGCTTGTTTGCACATGTGTGCGTGTTTGCACATGTGTGCGTGTTTGCACCTGTGCATGTAAACGTTGCGTTGGTGGCTTCGCTATGCGATTCATGGCGTTGGTTTGCCATACCTCCGCCTCCCTGACCCTCAAACCTTCCGTCCTGGCCGCCCCTGCATATTCTCCTTGGCCAACAACAGCTGATGGATCCTGCACCCGCGGATCGCATCTCGTCCTACAGCCACCTCGAGCCCATGAGGTGGTTTGATGGCGTCAGCGTCGCCCCAATCCACACCGACCAGACACAGGTGCGCGGAAGACATGATGCTGGTGGTTGTTGAGGTGACGCTCGTGTCTCTTGGTTGATGTCATCGTGTCCGTCGTACAGTCGTTCTTACACACACACACACACACACACACGCACACACACACACGCACGCACACACACACACACGCACACACACACACACACACACCTGGTACCATAGGTGTCGTCGGAGCCGCCCTCCCCTGTGGAGAAGAAGAAACCAAACGGTCTGGAGGGATTTAGCGGCTCATACCTCGAGTACCTCATCGCAAACACCGCACACAACGGCGATGGTGATGGTGATGGTGATGGTGGCGGCGGTGAAGCCACAACGTCTGCAGAGACACACGGCACAACGACAACCAACTCCACAGATGAACACCAACAGCAACAATTACAACAGCAGCAAAAGGACACTCAAAGCGCCAACACAGCGACACCAACGAGTGACAAGACAGAAGACATCGATGTCGACGACGACGACGATGATGATGAGGAAGATAATGAAGAGCTGCGAGCCCACTTTGCCAGCGCTCAACTCTCACACAACAGCAAGCACGAGGCTGTTCACGCCCGCAGCGCTGCTGCTGCTGATGATGATGACGATGATGATGATGGCAGAAGCACTGGCCAGCTGTCGAGCACGGTGACCACGGGCCGCGTGTCACCAGTGGTGCAGCGACAGCGGCGGTCGGATGCGATCGTCGTGGAGGGGAAGCCTGAGGATGGGAAGCAAAGTGCAGGCAAAGACGAGCAACAACAGCACAGTGAACAGCAACAACAGCACATTGAACAGCCACAACAGCACAGCGAACAGCAACGCAGCCAGCAGAAGCCACAGAAGCAGGGTGACGATGGCGATGCTGATGACGATGAAGATCTGTTTGCAATGTTGCAGCGGTTCAAATCACACCAGAAAATGGCAACGCCCGCCATCATTGCACACGAGGACAGCGCACGGTCAGGTTCGACCAACACCACAGCTGAGAACGATGCGCACAACGGCAGCCACCGCGCTGATGACGGTGATGATGGTGATGATGTGGATGACCAGAATGAAGGGGCAGTTGTTGAGCGCACACCGAGCGCCCGCGATGCCCTGTTTGACGTGATTGTGGAGTACCAGAAGCGGCAGTACAACGACCAGCGCAGCAACTCCGACGACTCCATCATCGTCGCCAGCATCATGGTCAATGACAAATGCACCAATGCAAAGGGCAGCCGTGATGGTCGCCATGCCAATGGCAATGGCACTCCCAAGCACGAGAATGGCAGCCAACGAGACGGCCACAGCCACGACGGCGTCAGCACCAGTGCACCAGCACCACCAGCACCACCGACACCACCACACGGCCTCGATTGCGATGGCGGCGTTGACGGTCACGACGATGACGCGTGGAGTAGCGTGAGCGACCTTCTCTAGCGCAATCAGGAACATGTTCTTTGGTGGCTGGTCGCCGTTCCGTGACCACAGCCGTCTGCATTTGTGTTGCCCTTGACGACAGCTTGCTCACTTGCTCGCTTACTTGCTCGCTTGTACAAACGATCTTTCGTTGCGTGCACGCACTCACGTGGATCCATCCCCTTTGCAAGCAAGCCATGAACACACACCCCCCCTCCCCTTTCCTCTCTTTTTCTTCTCTTTATCTTCTGCTCGTGGTGGTGACTTTGCTGTTCGCTGGTCGTTGTTCATACGTTACCCACAACATGGTGAAGCGGGGAATGTCAGAGACATGATGTGTGCATAAAGGAGGGCTGCCAGTACACAAAAGACACAAGTGAAAGACAAGCGAAAGGGTGTGGTTATCTGCACGTGTGCAGGAGTGAAGCACAACAGCTATTCTTCTCATCAGTCGAAGCGAAAGAGTGACATGATAAGCTAAGTAGTCAAACAGAGCCAGTAACCGCACGTGCTACGTGCAACAAACAATCAAGGGCAAAGCAGAAATGATGCATGCAGAAGAAAAACAAAAACAAAAACAAAGCCAGAAACAGTGTGTACAACAATGCGAGCGCACACACAACGAAAGCACGCATCCACACGACAACGTTTCACACACACACACACACACACACGCACACACACACACACACACTCTCTCTCTCTCTCTCTCTCTCTCTCACTCTCACTCTCACTCTCACTCTCACTCTCTCACACACACTCACACACAGTCGTCTGGTTCCTTGTTTACTTGAAGAAGCTGGAGAGGGCGCGGAGGTGGATGGGCGTGGTGGGCCGTCCAGCCGGCAGCGACAAGTGCGCCAGGTCGTGTAGCTGCTGCACAACAAATGCCAGCACCTTCGACTCGTCGTCCTGGTCTGGTGGGAAGTCGCGCGGGGTGACGTCGGGCGTGATGGCGTCCAGAGGCGCTCGCTCGTGCCACAGCATCGTCACACGGTACCACGCCCTCTCCGTCAGCGTGTACAGCGCACACGCGCGCAGGCGGCACCGCGCGTCCGTCCCTGCGCCGTAGTACCCGCCCACATTCAGGAACATGCGGGGCTGTGGCCGCGTGTTGCCCTGCAGCAGATCCAGCCGCAGCGGCACCAAATCACGCTCCTTCCCGTTCCCGTTGCCACCACTGCCGCTACCACCGTTGCCGTTGCCACTGTTGCTGCTGTTGTTGTTGCTCGAGCGGTGGCGGCGGTGCGCGGACGGCGCCTTGCTCGTTGTCCTGCTCAAGTTCTTGTACTTGTCCAGCATCGCAGACTGCTGGCGACGTGGGGCAGAACCGAAGTTGCCGAGCGCGTTCACTGCGCTGCTGCTGCTGCTGCCGCCACTGCGTCGCGACTGCGGACCACCAGCGCTGCCAGGCCGACCACGCCCCTGCCACTGCTTCTGTTGCTGCTGTTGCTGCTGCCGTTGCTCGTGCTGGCGTCGCTGCTGCTGCTGCTTCTTGTACGTCTCCCTCTGCTCCTCCATCAGCTGCTGCAGCCGCCGCTGCTTTGAGGGCGGCAATGGCGCCGGCGCGCGATCAAGCGTCACCCCTTCGTCGTGCTCAAACAGCACGCACGTGCACGACACGAGGAACCCGGCCTTTGGCTCCGACGCGGGCGGCGGAGACGGCTGCAGGTGTGGCTGGAAGGCCGTCGCTGCTGCCTCAGCGCGCGGCCCAACACCGCACAGCACAATGTGGACAGGGCACTTGAGGCGCCGCACAACGAGCGTGAGCACCTCGGCAGTCGCCCTGGCACCATCCACAAGCGTCTCGCCATCACGGATCTGCGTAAAGTGCAGGTCAAAGAGCGAGCCGTGCCGGTCGGTCACGCACACGACAATGGCGTCGGGCAGCACCACGTACGCGCAGTGCAGCAGATACAGGGACGGCTTGAAGGACAGCCGCGTGCCGAGGGCAACCACCCAGTCTGCATCCAGATCGGTGGGCGCAAGCTGCAGCATGGGCTTGTGCGCAGCCAGATGCCTCTGGCTCAGGAGGTACATCTCGTAGCACGCGGCGTCAAGGCCCGCGTTCGGGTGCATGTACATGCGCTTGTTCACCATGAGCGAGTGCGCGTGTGCGGACAGCGACATGGTGGTTGCCGGGTTGGAGAACGCATCTGGCCACACGCCATCCTCCGACAGCACCAGCAGCACCACGCGGTCCACAGGCTGCCCCTGCCTTTCCAGATCTTCCTTGATGCACTCCACCCCGCGCGTGATTGTGGGCGCGTCGGGCGTATACGGCACCACCGTCAGCGTGCCCAGCTCGCGGGCAGCATACGCGTGCACCAGGCGCTGCACATACCACTCGGCCGTGTGGCGGTGCGCGGGCGAGCACCTGTACAGTGGCACCACCACCCAGTCCTTGCGGTGGGCATGGGGCCGCAGACCAAGGTAGTGCCACATCTTTGGTGCAGCGGCACTGACAGTGAGCACGGCGTCGCGCTGCCTCAGGGGCGCCACCGTCTTCACCGCCAGCTGCGGCGCATGTAGCGGCCGCGCCTGGTGTTGGGTGGGGAGAACAGGGGGACAGAACGGGGACAATGACGTGAGGACATGTGGGAGGGCACTGCCAATGCACTTTGCATGTGTGCGTGCGTGTGCGTGCGTGTGCGTGCGTGTGCGTGTGTGTGTGTGTGTGTGTGTGTGTGTGTGTGTGTGTGTGTGTGTGTGTGTGTGTGTGTGTGTGTGTGTGTGTGTGTGTGTGTGTGTGTGTGTGTGTGTGTGTGGCCTTTGCGTGCTTTGTATGCATGAAAGCCTTGATGGATGAATGTCAGTTGGTTGCTCACCTCAGGAAGCAATTCTGCCAGCGGCAGCATGCCGGCAATTGTATTGCGACCATCTTTTGTCAGCGCCGTGAGCACGCGTGTTGTCATGGTCGCGTCCATGCTCGACACATGTTTCGGCACAGGCTGCTTCGGGTCAGCTGCACCGAAAAGAATTTGGAAGGAGAAGAGGGCGGGGAAAATAACGGTTTGAAGGTGAACGGTGGGCAACTTGTAAGGGGTTCACAACGAGGACTGCAAGTGACAACAGTGGTGGGATGATTCCAACACACACACACCCACACACACACACACACACACACGTGCACACACACACAGCCTCACCTGGAATGGGGGCCTGCTGCTGTGCGTGGTGCATGTAGTATGTGACGAGTGGCTGCTGGTCGCAGAGCTGAAGGGAGCAGCTTGCCTCAAGGGTGATTGCAGCCGCACGCTCCATCGCATCGCCCGTGGCACTGACTGTCGTTGACAGCTGGGCTGTTGGGCGGCGCACGTCTGTATGATGAGAGAAGTGGTTCAAGCGAGTGGATGGAGCGTGTGAGAGCACGTCTCATGTGCTGACTAACAAGATACCAGGGCACACGCATGATAAGCATGCAAGCACACACACACACACACACACACACACACACACACACACACACACACACACACACACACACACACACACGAACGCGTACATTGCAAGAAGACGAGCAGATGGGCGGACGCCGGGCTGGGCTGCAGGTGGGGCGCAATTGTGGCGGTTGACTCAAGCGCGTCTGTCTTGTCGGTGTACTTGGCGTTGAGGACAAACCCGGCTGGGGAGGGCGAGTTGGACGCACCATCGTGTGGCACTGCGCTGAACAGGCTGTTGGGAGCAGCAAACAGCGAAGATAGCGACGCCACAGCAGCAGGCGAATTCATGACAGTCGCTACGTTACTGTCTTCGTCGTCACCATCCTCACGCTCCTTTGCTGCTGTTGCTGCCGCCGCTGTTGGGGGCCTGGACCACGAGTCCTTCATGGCGTCCGGAATGGTGAAGAACGATGGCGAGGGCGGCTGCAGACCAGAGAGCGCGCAACAAGGAGAGAAAGGAGGTGTAGATTGAGATGGGCATGCGCAAGCGAGTCAGCAAATGAATGTGTGAGAAACAACACGTATGCATAAGCGTGCGAGTACGTATGTGTGTGTGCGTGGTTGTGTGCGTGGTTGTGTGCGTGTTGATGAGTGCACGGCTGGATGAGACAGCGCACCTTTGGGCGAATGTGGAGGTTGTAACCGGGCGCCTTGGTTGGCTCCTCGTATTCGCCTGGTCACGTGATGCAACGCAAAACTTCAAAGGTGAGCTCGTGACGGTGGTGGTATCACAGCGGACGATAGGGAACAAAGAATGTGATGATTCTTGCATACAGTGTCAGAAAAAACAATCCTTCCACACACACACACACACACACACACACACACACACACACACACACACACACACACACAAACACACACACACACACACAGCAGAGCACATGACGGCAGAAAGCACGTCACCGAACCTGTGCCTGGCGGTGTCCACGTTGGCGGGCCCTGACACGGCTGGATTGATGGGATGCACGGCGTATGGAGCGAGGAAGTTAGCTCAACGAAACCTAAACCACACGTATTCGCACACGCGCACACACGCACACACGCGCACATGCACGTAGCACCAGACAAACACACAAACACACACAAACACACACAAACACACACAAACACACACACCTTGATAGCGAGGGGCTTGTAGGCGGGAGGAACGGGGAACTTGGTGGTGCCGCCAACAGCGAGCGGGGCGAGGGAGGCGGCAAAGGGCGGTGATGACGGCGTGCCCGGCAGCACCAGCGCAGAATCGCCATCGTCGGCCGCCGCCGCCGTGCTGGTCGCGGTCGTCGCATACGCAGAGGAGGCTGCCATTGAGATGGGGGACGTGGGCGAAGCGTGAGAAAGGAGACTGAAGGCAACACACACACACACATACACACACACACACACACACACACCACAGCGTCACACGCACACACACACACACACGCACGCACACACACACACACACACACACACACACACACACACACACACCACAGCGTCATGCACACACACACACATTACACGGGGAACGCACTTCGCAAGAGGGACTTGAGGGTGTCCTGGTCGTCATACGGCGGCGTGAGCAGATCAGATGCCGCCCGCTTCCCACCACTAGTGGTGGCGTGGCTCGAATGAGACAGCACAGTACCACTGCTATGATTGTGGTGGTGACCCTGGTTGCTGCTGCTTGTGCCGACAACAGCGGCTGCTGTGCTCATCATCGCTGCCGCCAATGCCGCGTCGCGGGTGCTGCTGCTGCTGCTGCTGTGATGCCCTTGTGGATGTGTCGACGGAGCCATGTTCGTCGCGTGTGCTGGTCCATCATCAAGCTGCTTCGGGCGCTTCATATCCGACGTTGAGGCTGATGCATCCCCACTTCGCTTCGCCTGCGATGACGCTGATGCTGCTGTTGCTGATGCATGTGTCGTGGCGTGCCTGGATCGTTCTGAGGAACCACCAACACCAACACCGGTAGCGTGTGCTGCATGAGGGGAAGTTGTGGCCACATCACTTCCATGCCTGACACTGCGCGCACGCCTGCGGGCACTTGCCGACCGCGAACCAAACTTGCTCTTCAGCAGCGACAGCACAAATCTGCTGCAGGTTGCCTTATGCTTCGTCTGCCGGCCCCAGGGGAGCTTGAGCGGCGGTGGCGGCGGCGCTGCCCGCTGTGCACCGCGCAACCCAGCGCGTGAACCATGCGGATACTTGCTCGGGGGCAGGTGCCGCGATGCCCCGTGCGTCGACGACGACGACGACGACGACGACAGTGAGGATGACGGAGCGTGCCGCGCTGGCGTGGGGCGGAGATTGAGGTGGGAGTAGTCGAGTGTGTTGAAGCGCTGGTTGAGGCTGGTCAAGGTGGTGAGCACGTGGCCAGGCACAGCACACGTGTTTGCAATTGCCCGCTGCCACATCTCCTCGGCATATGCAGACACGCGCGTGCACCCGTCACCGTCAATCTCCGCTGCATCATCTGCGTCACTGCCATCCCCGTCAGCTGCATCGCCACACCCAGCGCCGCACGTGCCGGATACTGCTGCCTTTGCTGCTTTTGCTGCTTTTGCTGCGCGCGAATGTGCTTTGCTGGCGGTGGTGGCGGTCGTGTCGCTGGTGTGACGCGGTACAACCAGCAGCCGCTCCGGGTACACGCCAGCAACGCCGTCCAGGCGAACGCGCACGAGATGAGCAGGTGCAGCGTCCACCGCGCTGGCAAGGTGGGGCGCAACCCGCTCCCACGCAGCCACACACGCGGGGCGAGGGTACGTGAATGGCAGTGCTGCTGCTGCTGCTGCTGCTGCTGCTGCTGCTGGTCGTGCTGAGGACAATGGCAGTGGAGATGTGGAGTTGCCTTGGTGCGGGCGTGGGTGGGTGGCAACAGCAGCAACACCAGCGGTGTTGTCGCTGGCGTCGTTGTCGTCGTCGCAGTCGCTGATGCTGCCGCTGCTGGTTGGCCGCGGCGGGTGCACCAGCTCGCACACATCGCCCGTGGGCACGAGCCGCGCATGTGTATGTGCGGCCACATCGTAGTCTGGTGCAGATAGCAGCTGGTATGGGTTGGTGACCGCTTGC